ATAACCATGGATACTGACAGTCTTTGTACTGCTGTGGGGAAAAAAAAATTCAAATGACTAAAGAAGAAAAATCTGCCCCAGTTATGGTTGCACAGGAGCTGCAGTCTGAAAGGATGTCAGTAGGCGTGGGGATGCAGGTTCGATCTCTGTCAGGGCCACACCTCCATGGGTGCAGAACATGCCAATTGTCCAGCCCAGCTAGTGCCGTCAGGGGCAGCTTCATCCTTCACGTTCAGCATTAATTACTGTCAGTCCAGCTATTCCGTTTGATACAGACGCTCTGCCAGTTAACCAGCTTCCCGAAATGCCACAAGATGTGTCATGAGCTAAGCCATTAATATGAAATTTTATTTTTTTTGCTCGTTATGTATATGAAAATTAAATGTCTAAAAGATTTACCACACATAGCAGAAAGTGGCAGACAGTGACTTTAGCAGCAATGACATAATCTAGTTATTCATTAATAATGTGATTTTGGTTGGGGGGGGGCAGGTGGGGAGGGTTGGTTACATTTAGTAACATGCCATGATATTGACATTATACAGGCTTGCTGTAGGTAAATTAGCAGTTTGGGCTGAATACGTTTTTGTCCCAGAGAAGCAAATCTGTGATTAGTAACTCTTTTTATTAGTAACTTATTTTTAAGTAGGCTATTTTGTATTTAAATCCCAGTAAAGCACATATACTCTATGCTACAGGTATGATCCCAAATGCACTATTGTGTGTCATTGTACTCACAGTGATGGACAAACCTGTGAAGCAGGGTGTGACACAGCAAGGTGTCACTCTTACAAGCATGGCTCCGGAATACGAGATCCCCGTGTCACCCCATGCTTACGGTGTAGATTACAGTGTACGCGTGTGACAGTTAAACAGTCAAGGCAGGTAACCAATGAATCACTAGCGGGTTCGCTTGCCAGGTAAACGGAGATTACTGGCCAAGGAAAGAATGGAAAAAATAACGAATCACAAACAAAATGATACTGGTGAACGAGTTGAGAGGAATTTTCTGCCTGTTCATTGTAATTAGCCTCCATTGGTTTATGTTTGTTAACAGCAGGGCTGAAAGAGTGAGATGTCTGAATGTGTAATAGGGACATTTGACATTTCCCCTCCCCTCATTGGACTCCTGGGCTGGTTAGTGCTGGTTCACAGGCCTGTTCATGGGTTAACGCCTGTATATTATATATAAGGATGTCCTCAGGAAGACCTTTAAGCTCATGAAATGCTTTTTTTTTAATTTTTTTAAGTGTTAAAAAAAAAAATGCACTATTGATGCATTTTGAGCAGGGGGGCTTGGTGCCGCTGTGGCTCAGCAGACAGCAGTGTTGCCTCATGCCTCCTGGGTTGGGTTTGAATCCCACCTCCACTCTGCATGTGTGCAGTTTGCATATCCTCTCTTTGTGCAGTTTCTAAATTGCGCATGGTATGCGTGTGTGCATGCGTGTGTGCATGCACGCAATGGATGGGCATCTTACCCCTAATCTATGCCCTATATTGTCCCCCCTGTGGGATAAGTGGTTAAATTAGATGATGGGACATTGTGTAGCTGTGGGTTGGGAATCAGAAGGTTGCAGGTTCAAATCCCGTGTTTGGCCGAATGATGCCACTCTTGGGCCCTTAACCCCAATTCTTCCAGGGACTGACTGACTGCTTTCTGGATTGTGTATCACATTGGATTAAAGTGAATAAAGAAATAAATTAAGATGGATGAATGGAAGATGTATTCATAGTGTGTACATTAAAAACTGTAATTCATTATTACTTCATTAATTAATTTCAGTCCAGCTATTTAGTTTTACAAATATGCAGTTTTGTAAAACATGTACAGCAAAAAACATTTTGTAATTTCTGCAGCTGTATATTTGTAAAACTACATGTTCGTGAGGATGAATATCAAAGCGTCTCTTTGAAAACGCGCTCTGCCTGCGGGGGGGGGGAGCGCAGAACGCGGTGCCACAGCTGCGGGGCCCCTGGAAAGGCGCACGGCTCCTTTTAATCGCGCGTAAGAGGTGTGTCGGTGCCCACAGGAGCTCTTTCATCCTTCCTGGGCGGGGATACTTTTATCCCGAATGAAGCACCTGTGAGCTACACAGAGGGGCGAGAGAAGAAGACGCCTCTCCGCTTGGAAGAGCGGTGGCCTCTGCTGCAGTTCAAAGGCTGGGGGTGACACAACAAGCAGGACATCTTACTGTGTCCGTATTATCACAAGGCCCACGCTCATTTCTGCTTGCATCTGTGCAGTTTTACTCTGCTTGAGGCTGTTTATATTTTATCTCACACATCAGTGCCACAACAAGCTCAGCCCTACCCTTGAATCTGGACCCTCTTCTACCTGCCTGTACATGGACACATATCCATCCATCCATCCGTCTGTCCTTCCATCTCCTGTACCCGCTTGTCCTATTCAGGGCTCTGGGGGGTTTGGACATAGAGGCTACACCTGTGGTAAAAGTTACATTTTGATAAAAAATGTCCATCAGAATTCGTTGTGGCATAGGCCATTGCCTTGTACGCTTGTCCATTTTATTACAAAACTGGCAGCTGTGGGTCATTTTTTGTGTAACTATGGTTACAATTACAGGTTGGATTATGAACCTTTGGCTGCATTTTGGGATTGGAATCAACATTTTAATGCAATTGTTCATTTGCTGTTAAAGTACCATGTTGAATAACTGTTTCATAATAGCCTTGAAAAATTCTTAACTCTGTTCAAAACCGTACCATAAATTGAAACCGCCGGTGTTCTGTTTGGCTGCAACTTGTCTCTTTGCTGTAACATGGATGCCTTTGAAAGCTGAATCCTCTAGCTGCTAGCACTACTGGCAGAACTTAAGAGTCTCAGTGGAAAAGATCATAACTGATTAAGGGTGTCGGAGGGCTTCAGATGGACACGCCACTGATCAGCAGGGCACCAGGAAAACCGGGTTAGAATCCTGCAGGAGTTAGGTGAACCTGTGCAGGCACATTCATTGGCTGGAAGAAGGTTATCAGAAATACACATATTATGCTCTCTCTCCTTTAATGACAATTTGTCAGCGGTCTTCTTTGCATATTTAGTCTTTGCAGTGCACTGAGTAATGCCATAATTAGCTAGCCTATCTGTCTGGTAACAGTAATCACTTGTGGAGTTAGTGGGTTGTAATTAGCTGTTAAAATTGCATCAATATTATATGGTACCCAAACTGGGTAACGTTATTTTACAATGCAATCTACATCTATCGGGAGAGTTTGCTGATAAATCTTTCCTTTCAAAGGTGCTACTACTTTCAAGCTCGTTTCAAGCTCATTACTTCCATCTACTGGCGCGAGTGCGCAGTGCAGCCTGTTTTCTAATTAATGCGCGGCTCGGCGAAGATACGGCGCGTTGATTTGATTAAAGACCCGATATCTTTATGTATACACATGTACATGTTTTGTGTGATTATATAAAATGGATAATAGCTTAAGGGGCCTCAAAGTTTCTTGTTTTTATTCTCAGGCCCAGTTCATTTTGCGTGTGCATCACGCGGACGTTCAGGGTGCTGCTGTACTTCATGGCAATCATGCTGTCTGTGTCATACAGGTATTAGCCAGTGACATGCTAATGAGGTTTCGTCACTGACGAATTTGAAGGAATCTGATTGTTTTTTGTTTCTGTGCTTTGCTCTGACCTGAGGCGGGCCAAGCATAAATTAAACTTTTATTATCCACGCCAGCTGAGACTGCTGCCTTCAGCCAGCTTGCTCTCCAGTGGTCACCACTGTGGGTATTTTAGTTGTCCCTATTTTTTGATCAGGCATCTTAATTAACAGTAAAATTGCCACAAACTTCTTGCTGAGCTTGCTGAGCTAACCATTCGCAAGTCTTCAATAGTTTGATCTGAATATTTCCAGGGTTTCCATTCCTGATTTTCTTTGATTTTGGGCAAATGAGGTCTTGGTTCCAGATGACGGAAACATGGTGATCTCAGTACCGGTCCATGAATAATTTAGCTCCACCCTTCTGTGTCTCAGTGGTGTCATTCTGGAGCAGCGTGGCCTGAAGTCAGTCTGGTTTTTGGGTTACACTGATTCGCACGTATCTGCTGTTCTGTCCAGTGCCTTGATGTAATGGCTGCTGCAGTGTTTTGTTTCGTCCTGTTTGCTCTTTGGGATGATATTGCTGGGCAGGAGGCCGCCCCCCCCCTCTGGGAATGTTCCTCAGCACCCAGCTTGGGTGCACGCTGCCCATTCGCCGACAGCTCCTCAGCTTTTCTGCTCCTAAACGACCCCCTGCCGACCTCCGCCTCCCCGAGAGACCTCGCCTTACACATTCGGGCCTTCCTCAGAAGCTTTCAGATTGGGGCCCATTTCAGATGCTTTTTAAAATCTGGCCCAAACAAGGTCAATGTGATGAGCGGCCAAACTGAAACCGGACTGGTTCCCTCTTCATGTGTTTTCTCTGATTGGCTGCTTTGTCTTTCAAGCCCTACCCCCCCCCCCCTTTTAAAATGCACACAACCTCACCTCACCTCCACTGTGTGCTTTGATTTCTTCCTGCTGTCAAAAGGTGCCTGAGGTCCAAGGCATCCTGTGTCCCCTCACATGTCTCTGCATCAGTGGCAGAACTTTACGTGAAAGTAGTTTAATATGTGCATCTTAAGTCACTAATAATATAAAACTAAACCCTCTGGCCGACTGGTTTAAAAATGTTTGCGTACCTTTGCTTTTAATGAACATGTTTTGAGGTGTCTGCAGAGAATTCACACATCACCTTCCTGCCTTGCATGGGAATTGTATTTCTTCATTGGTAATGGCAATTGAAACAACTACAAATCGTCATTGTTTTTCAAGCAGTGAAATTGGTTTGTAAGATAACATTTTGAAATAGCAGAAAAGCTCTGACCTATGAAATGACGTGTCCTAATTATATTTATTTTTGGTAAAAATACATTTCGTTCTCATCTCTCTTTTCGCCAGGTGTGAAATTATCTCTCATTAATTTGATCGTTGAGCCATTCCTTCCCTTTTGTGTTGCAGACATCCATGAATTCTACGAGGTGACATTACTGGACAGCCAGAAGGTCGCAGGGTCCAGTAAAACCAGTGCCCTCTCAGCCCCAGGCAACCTGTGGGACTTTTCCAGCCTTTCCAGCACCACTGGGACCTCAGAGACACTGCCCAGCAGTCTGAGCCCTAGCTTGGAGGTAGGTAATATTACAGGTCCGAACTCACTGGCTCTGTAGTCGTCAGTAACTCGAATCTGGAGCCTAGTGGAACACTTTCCAGATGTGACTTGCTAATTGATTCTGGAGCCTAATGGAACGCTTTCCAGATGTGACTTGCTAATTGATTCTGGAGGCTAGTGGAACACTTTCCAGATATGACTTGCTAATTGATTCTGGAGCCTAGTGGAATGCTTTCCAGATGTGACTTGCTAATTGATTGGCTGCCAGGCTGTTGCTCCTTTTAGTCTTATGACTTTTATTCAAGTATTTTAAAAATATTAATATTTCATGATGCATCGATCATAGCATGATGGATCTGTGTACCTAATTATACTCATTAATACCTAAGTTAACTTATAGTTTGGTCTTAGCTTGTTGCTCTGTGTAGAATTTTGCTGAAAGTCAATGGTTTCAAATGTTTTTTTAAGTAATTTTATATTTATTATACTATATATTTTATAGTGGTTTTAGTGGTGTGGGTCATAGCTTGGAGACATTTATTGATCATAGACTGGTACTTAACAGTGTAATATGTAGATATTTTAAATGCAGTAAATACATTAATTGTGTCCTGCTTAAACAAGACAGTGTTATGACAAAGTGGCTGAAGGCTTATGAGGGTATAGTGGTGAATCAGCCCTTCTAGGGGCAGTAGAGATGCCTTTCTATGCAGTGTGTGTGTGTGTGTGTGTGTGTAGGGTAGGGGTGGGCAATATGAGCTAAAATTATCATGGTATTTTTCACTTATAGGACGGTGACAGTATTGTATCACAGCATTACCTTTTTCCAAGTTTTGGGAGGAGTAGCATGCCCTGTCCCTTTATGTAAGCAAACTATTTTGATAATTTAAATATATTGATAATTGATGATTCCAAAGTATATGGAATGTATCATTTTCAGTTGGGACACATGGGGCAGTATGAACAGAATTTATTATGCAAATAGCCTGAAGATCTTGATATTAACTTTTATGCTCTACAACAAAACTAAAATGACCAGTTCTGCTGTACAAAAAGAACACTTTTATGGTCGCATGGTAGCTGTGAGCTAAATTGTGTCAGGGAACACAAACACACGCAAATGAAAGCATGAAGGCACACATTTGACAAACGGACAGTGCAGAGACTGCAGACATCCCAGCTCTCCCGGAAGTTCCGGGATTCTCACGCATGTTGACAGCGACTCCCTGATGCCCGCAAATTATATACAATATCCCGGACATTTGTTTTTCCAGAGCAAGAGCACATGTGAGATAGAGTAAAGACTCTCGAGCTTATCTAGAATCTTAGGAGGACAGCGGGCGTCACGGGAGACTCCCGGAACTTCCCGAATAGCTGGGATGTCTGTACACTAAATGTTTGCTCCATTTCGGATGATTTAAAACCTACCCAGTTCCAAATAACAGAGGTGCCCTCTCCTGTTTTGGAAGGAGAGTCTCGTTGTCGGCTGGTTTCAACATTCCACTCCTGTCTTTTGTTATTCCTTTTTCTCAGCCTTTCTTAACTTTATTAGCCATTACCGAGCTGAACATGCTACTTTTGGCATGACGTCACCACGCGTTAATTGGGCAGCTGAGCCTTTTACCACGTGCGTTGCGTGAAGGCAGCGGCGCATATATATGCTGATTTAGTGAATATGTTTACCTTTTAATTTGCTAATATATATATGTAACCATGTTATTTTTAATGTGTATAATAACACAATCTTTTTTTTGAATTCGTTAATTTGCTGTCAGGACACCGGTGTCAGAGTGCGTTTAATGGAAAATTCACACAAGTTAGATCAACCGGTTGGTGTACTATTTAAGGAGAAGCCGGGAAACTGAAGCTTTGAAGAAAATAAAATGCTTTTTTTATATAAATAGGCTGTTCTCTAATTAGGCTGTTGACGTCTCGCGGTGTTAACGGTATAGTTCAGTCCAAGTCGTGGCGCAGACTTACACCGTTAATGACTATGGCGCTGGCGTGCCGCTAGCTGTCTGCGCTGGATGCTCAGCACAGACAAACTGCCGTCCTCACTTTTCACTTTGTCTGGCAGATGCCGGTCTGTTCTTCTCATCCTCTGCCGTTCAAGACTAAAAAAATATGATGCAGTGCTATAGGTGGCTGCTGCGTGAAACAATTTGCTTTGGCAGATGGAGAAGCTGAGCTGTAGCTCGCGCAGTGTAATGTTCAGCACGCGCCTGCCTTATTTAATCTGATCTAAGGTAGGGTGACCAGATAATCCATGTCAGGGAGGACACTTTGAGCTACTTCAGGTTTTACAAACTACTTTCAAATTGAAAGGCTCCTGTGCTCGGCTAATTAGTTCAGCTCTTCTTGTGCTTTGACTGGTTTATTTCCTTGACTGAAAGACTCATCCAGCTGTTTCACATTAACATTAGTGACACATGCATGATTATAGGAGACTGTGCTCAACCAGTGAACTCAGTGCTCAAGTGAAATCCAGGTCCGTTTAATTGAAATGGTAATTTACAATTCCTGTCCTAGCTCAGTGTCCTCCCTGACATGGATTATCTGGTCACCCTAATCTAAGGTGTTTCATGGTGTCGAGGCAAATCCCTTGCTGACATTTCAGTAATCTGCTTCCTTGCATCTTTCAGACTATTTTGCAACACGCTCTGTGTTTCAGTACCATTACTTTGTACTGAATCAACACAGAGATTTATAAACAAGCGGCTTTTCATGGTTTTCTCATGCCATCATAAATTCGTGAATGAGGAAAAAAAAAAAAACTCATGGGAATCCCACCAGATGGAGTGGTAATGGAGGCCTTTGCTGGCCTGTGCGATGATGCTTATTCTGCGGAGAGCCTTGATGTGAGTGACTGATTGAGCCCTGGAATGCTTCTAACCAGTCGGACAGAGAAAGCATGCATGCACTTACATTATCATTTAGATACTTAGCAGATGCTTTTCTCTAAAGCGACATCCAAGCGAGCCATGCAGCACATTGCAAATATCCATGCTGTCAAGGAAACGACTAGGCTGAGCTTCCAGTGAATGCCCAGGTAGAACTGTAAGCAGTTTTGGAGCAGGAGCTACACAACAGCTACACAATAGCTACTTCACAACAACTTCACACATAACTATTATCAAAGTAAGAACCTAATAAGACTTGTCAGGGCTCTAAGTGCACATGAGCATTCAAAGAACAATCTGGCCAGTAGAGGAATTGGTCTTGAGGAGCATTTTGTTGGATATGGGAGCCTGCGAGACGACACCTTGAACTTGATGTGAGCGCCAACAGACACACGTTTCATGCTGGCAGTTCACGCCATGCACACGCCACGTACACGCCACACACATGCCACACAGGCTTAAATCTACAAGATTGGGAGAGCGCTGTTATGTGCTCAGTAATGGACAGTTGGTTACCCCTGGGTTACTAGCAGAGCTTGATGGAGACAGTGATCTGACGGGAGGAGCTGTAATTCATGTGTGCTGCCTGGGTTTGCACCCTCCAGCGTTGTGTTGTTAGTGCAATGCTCTGTAACTTTAATGTGAACCAGGAGAATCCACCCTTCACTGGATGTCTTATGTTGATGAAGCTTTGATGAATTTGTTTGGGAGTATGAATCTCCCATGAACTTTATTCTTATGAAATGAAGTACTGGTAAAACAGTGTTTCTGATTACCTGTCAGTTGTAAGTCCAAGTTTGTTCTGTTTTAATTGTAAAGCTTCTTCTTGCAGCACATCCTGGACAGAGATGTAATCTGTGCATAGCGAACCTCTTTGTCACCACCTGATTTATAGGATACCATAAATTATTGAATATAGAAATTGCAGGTGTTTGAAATATTTCTTTATTCTTCACTAAGAAAAAAGTATAACAATATGTACTTTTGCTTGTCACTGGGGTTTGTACCCTTGTAATTGTACCTTTTAAGGTACAGACATGGACCTCCCAAAGGTAGAAACAGCATTAATGTACCTCAGAGTCCATTTCTGTACCTTAAAAGGCAGAGTTACCTGCAGTTAAGGGTTGGATTGGCAGACCCTTGAGAGTGTAGCCCCAGTGACAAGCAAAAGTACAAATTTTTATCCTTTTTTCTGAGTGTTCATGGTTTAATAGAAAGTGTTGAATTTGCTAATAACTGTGTTTTAAGGCAGCGTTCTGGAAAGCAACGAAGATAATTTAAAAATAAGCCATTGAAGGTTTCCATAGAGTGCGCACAATGAATGCTGAAGGTGAATAACAAGTTTGGCCAGAAAAACCAGATACTCTGATACTCTCCGTCTTGAGCCAGTGTGATTGAAATCAGCTCCCTGCCGCAGATTAGTGTGTAACATCATGTCCTCATTAGCTGCTGAAGAGCGGTAAGCCTGCAGTCAGGCACTATGGAGACTAAATGGCTTAATGGTGTGCACTGGTATGACTGGTGCACTATGTATAGCTTGAAATTCGTGCACACATTCCAAATGGTTACTGTTGGTATAATCATTCGGTGATGATTAATCACCATACATTAGAAAATTAGAACTGCAGTATTTTGTCTGTTTTGAAAATTACGACAATCTGTCATTTTATTCATGTCTGTGAATCATGCCTTTAAACTAATCCTTTCAATGTGTTTCAATTTGATGTAATTATTGTAACTATGGGTACTACTTTATGTGTTTGGTGGAAATAGGTTTTTAATTTATTTTGAACTGGTCACTTTTTAAAAGGTATGAGAAATGTCTTCTTTTTTTTTAAACTCACCATTCTGTATGCTTGAACCATGCCATTCACCTGCCTGTCACTGTTAATGGACCACATGTTCCTCTCTTCACACTCATTAATTGGCTGAATCTTCAGCAGGCTCTGATTACTGACATGTTTTGCAAGTCCTTCACAGGCTGACTGCTGCATTTATACCTGCTTCAAGCCATCATGCATTAGACATTATTCTCTTTATTTGCCTAATATTATTTAAGACCAAAGTTAGTTCCAAATGGTGGTAAATGGATAGATGTGGGCTCCGACTGACAGATTTT